AATCGTGATGGGCATGATAAATGAAACAATAATAGAGTTTGGAAATAGAATAATAGAATTAATAAATGAAATGATAGAATTCATAATAAACTGAATGATAATATGATTGACAATAAACTAAATAAATAAAGAGATTGGAAGAAAACAAAATAACCAGGGTTAGAAAAAATCAAATGATTTTTTAAAAAATATTTAATGGATTAAAAAGGTAAAAAATAAATGTTTTATAAAACTTACACCAATGTTATAAATTGTTTACAGTTAAATAATGATATTAATTAAATACTCTTCAACATGTATTACTAACATATATAACATATATTATATGTCACTTTAACATATATTACTAAAATAAATTTTGAATGTTGAGTGTTTATTTTGCATGTTAAATGGAGTTGTAAGATAATATAAATGCTTATTTAGTTCTAGTATTTAGTTCTTTTTTTTTATTATATTAGCATATTTAATGAATAAACGTGGACATTTTTTTAATTGTTTATTGAAAGCATTAAACAATAGCTAAATGGAATAATTAAATAGTATGAAATACTTAGGAATAGTTTAGTTAATTTCTATTAATGTCTTATAATATTATTCAATAAATTTTTTTTTTTTAAATGTTAAAGTCCAGTTTTAACAAAAGAAAAAAAATCCCGGTTTAAACCAAAAAAACCAGCCATATAAATAATAACGGAATTTTCCAACCCTGGAAATAATGACGGAATCGAAAAATGCTTAAGAATTAAAAAATACATTTAATTTTTATTTCCTTAAAAACCTTGGGTGAGAATCCATAAGTAGAGAACCCCTGTTATGGACGAAATCCATCTTTAAATTGAAACATCATTGAAAGATGTAACAAAAGGTTTTGTGTGTATGACTATTTTTCTCCTTCGTGATGATGAATGTTGTTACATGTTTTTGTGAAATAACGATCATGACTTATTAAATATATATTTCATTTTGTCAGGATGACAACAATGAATTGTCATATTCTTCGACAATCGTTTTACATTGAATACACGTCAATAACGGTTGTTGATAAGTCTACACGATATCAATTGGGAATACGAATTGTTTTCAGAAAAGAAAAAACAAATTTAGTTTCTAAATGTCACTGACATTGGACATCTGATTTGTCATAGCGGTTTTATTCTCAATATTGAATTTTTCTCCACACATGATTTAGTTTGATTAATCATGTGTGGAGAATCTCCTTCCTTTTCCTGCTATTATATATAT